AGCTTGAGGGCCACCCCGAGAACTTTTTGCGAGTGACTGAAGTCCAATAACAACATGCAGTGCCTGAGAAAAAGCAGGCGCCAATTTTCTATGAATGATTGGACAATCACATCAAGTAGGATATATTGAAATTGAGCCATGTGTCCGCAACATCCCCTGAGCACCGCCGCAGGATCCAAAATACACCGACAAAAAGGTTGAAATCGCGAACCGAGATTTTGCGGGTGCTGCGCAAGTGAGGCTCGTGCACATTCGTTTTTGCAGCCACGTTGGCTCAATGTGCCGTTGTTTGTTAACCCTCTGTAGCAGCAGCAGCAGTAGTAGCAGTAGTAGCAGTAGTAGCAGTAGTAGCAGTAGTAGTAGTAGTAGTAGTAGTAGTAGGAGTAGTAGCAGCAATAGCAGCAGTAGCAGCAATAGCAGCAGTAGCAGCAGGAGCAGTAGCAGTAGCAGTAGCAGTAGCAGTATCAGTAGCATTAGCAGTAGCAGCGCTAGCAATAGCAGTGCAGTGGCAGTAGCATTAGCAGTAGTGTCAGTAGTGACAGTAGGAGCAGTAGGGGGAGAAGTCGTAGAGCAGCAGATTAAACCGTCAGCCTTGAAATTCAAAGCCGGAGCCTTAAGCTTTAAATTCCATCAATTGCGCAAAATGCCGTTTCGGTCCTTGTTTCTCGTGCCGCTGGTGGCCGCACTCCGTGATGCGACTTATGTTTCAAGGGACCTCTGTTCCGAGAAGGCGCCGCGGGTAGATTCATGAAACGGGGCACCAGGGTGTCGCAACATCGGGGTCCTCCTTTGTGGGAGTTTGTATCAACCGGTTGTAATAATTTTGGGCAGGTCATGATAAAATGGTACTACTCAGATACCCACAAGCAAGCGATCCGTTCATCCGCGGTGAAGTCGCGTTGTTCAAGTTTTGGGGCGAGGGCTGGGGTGTCGGGCTTGATGTTGAGGTTGTAGGGTGCGGACATGGTAGGGATATAGTTTCTGTGGCAAATTCCGGGCACGTTTCGTGTCAAGATTGTAGATGAGTTTTCGGCCAGGACAGAGGGGCATGGAGGCTCAGACGTCACACATCAGGCGTTTCAAGGCTCACGCGCGTTGATGGATTGGGCATTTGTGCGACATGACCGGACCAAATTGAAGATGCCTCTCCGGGTGGGGCGTTTTGATTTTGTCGACGCGTCTTAAGCCGGAAATGCATCATCAGAGCACGACGAATACCAGGATATCAGAAGGGCAAATGAGCAGGCGATTTTGGACGTAGTGCATAGCAGGTGATGCCTTTATTGGCCATTTTGGTCTTGTTCATCCTTTTGTCTTTCCTTCTGTAAGAAGTTTGCCACTGGGGCAGCTTGGACTTTGAATGTTGAATCTAAATGCCTTATCCAAAAAGCAGCTTTGTCTCTATTGAAGGTTTTGAGTGCAAGGTTTAACGTATACGGCTTCATATCCAGGGTCTAGGGTTTTATGCGTAGAATTGCAATCTAAGGATAGACGTCAATTCTCGAAATTCAGTCTGGAATACCGCATCCCCATGAGTTTTGGTCTCAAATGCTGACACCATGCGCTGCTCCGATTCATATAACTCTCATACAACCCACATCTTTTTCAACTCCATGTAATCCTCATGCAACCCTACATACTTACATATGACCTCTATATAATTAGGAGGTCTTTGCCACCTTTTTCACTATGCTGGGGAATCTCGTGCTTGCATAGCCGGGGGGTTTTAGCAAGGAATTGCACCAAGGGAACGAAGTTTCTTTGGTATTCCCTCATGCATCGAAGATCCTAAAACTAGAGAAGGCCGCGAGTGACGAATTTCCCATATTACAGTTTTACAATTTTTTGGTCTAGCCGTATTGTAGAGTAGCTTAGACAAACCTCAAATCTATGTTGATAATTTCCCAGGACCTTACCACTATAATCCCTTCACGCAACCCACAAAAATAATCCCAGCTTTCACGTTTTTGTTTTTAATTGTGCATGTGAGTTTCCATGATCGGTATTGTTTAGGCCCCTGTGCCTGAAACGCTAAATCTTGGGTACTGCCTCCGCTCTGTAACAGTTGGATAAGGTTTACATTATATCTAGCCTTTAACAGGACCCTTAATCATTAATCCACACTGTCACAGAATGAGGGCACTACGCAAGGTAAGCCGTGTTCCATGCTGGGTCACCAGGTCAGTGTTTGGACTATTTGGGACACGTGTTCAAGCCAAAGGGATGTGCAGGATTGCGCAGGGATTGTCAGGGCCTTCGTGACGGACTAGATATACATGCTTTGCAGGGTTTAGGGTTTAGGGTTTTATGAGATACGTATATATAGACATGCGAAGGTTTAGGGTTATCTATACAGGGTACGCAGAGAAACACTAGCGTTTCTGTTTCATGTGCACGAGGTAAAGGGTGTTGCCAGCGGACTCTACGGACGCAGCGCGGTGGTGAAGCAAGGATGTGTTCAAGGTTGAACTTCCTTAGCCGGTTAGGGTTTAGGGGTTCAGGGTTAGGGTCTAGGGGTTAGGGTTTAGGGTTCGGGTTCAGGGTTTAGAGTTCGGGGTTTAGGGGTTAAGGGTTTAGGGTTGAGGGTTACGAGTTCATGGTGTGGGTGGAAGGTTATGGTGTGAGTCTAGTTCTTCGACCCTAGTTCCTAAATCCTTAAACGTGACACCTTGATTTCCCAAACCCTAAGCCTTAATCCCCTAAACCTTAAGCCCGAAAAGCCAATCTAAACTTACCATTACTCAGGGTCTCAAATTTCATTACTCTCACAATTTCAAGATTTCAACACTTCAACAGTTTTAGCTCAACAATCCGCTCCAAGATCCTAAGTGATTGTAATAAACCCTAATTCCCTATCCCTAAATCCTAAACCTTGAACCTTAAAACTTAAACCCCAAAACCTGAAAGGTAGGATCCTTTGTGAAGGCCCAGGTATCGAGGCATCATGCTGAGTTCTTTCCATGTCGCGTTTTTGGCAGCAACTTCAATGCTAGGGGGGGAAGGCACTCCTGAAATCCAAGCCCTAAACCCTAAACCCTAAGCCCTAAGCCCTAAGCCCTAAGCCCTAAACCCTGACAAGAGGGTGCATGTCTGACTTCTCCACCCAATACATAGAACCATGAGAATCAGAAGTCAAGCCTTTGTACCTGGATCTTGAAATCCTAAAAACCTCAGCTGTAAACCCAAAGATGTTCATCCAAAACCCTAAGCCTTAGTCATAAACCCGAAGTCTATTCCCCAAACTTAGACCTGGAAGCCCAAGCCCCAGATCCTAAACCGCAAGTCCAACCATAAATCCTGAATCCTAAACACTAAACCCAAACCCCTAAACCCTAAATCCCTAAACCCTAGACCCCACACCCCTAAACCCTAAATCCCTAAATCCCTAAACCTCAAATCCTGAACCCTAAACCCCTAAATCCCTAAACCCTGAATCCTGAACCCTACACCGGCAAGCTGCAATACCCGAACAACACCCGAAGCCCAATCAATGGCTCAGCTCAACTAATAAAGCAAATTGGTAACCTCCTTAACCCCCCAAATTAGGATTCTATGACTATCATATGATGGTTACTGGTTCCTAATTATGGGGGTTGGGGTTATCAAAGCTCCTTATTATGAGGGATCCAGGCTTGCTGCGGCCCTTTTATGAGGGATCCAGGCTTGCTGCCCCCATCCCCCCCCCACGTGGGAGTTTGTTGAGAATCAATCAAGCGGAAAAGAACCCTAAACTCTAAACCCTAAACTCAACCCCTAGCCCTATATATGTGTATATATTTATATATGGAGAATGAGATGGAAACTGGGGGGATATAGGGGCTTGTCGGGATTAGGGTTTCCCAACCTTAGGAGTGGCATTTCATAAGGAATATAGTATACTTGGAGGGTCAGGGGGACTTAGTAAGTGGGTTAAAAAGGGGATAAGTAGGATTACTGTATGAGTTATAGGGTTTATGAACCTACTTACTAAGTCCCCCTGACACTCCAAGTATTAGGCAGGGTCTATATGGAGGTGCCCATGTTTACGAACAAAAAAAAGGTTCCCTCGAGACTTAACTGACATAACCCCTAAAGCATGAACCACAAACTTGAGCCATACGGAATGAGGTTTAGATTAAACCTCACTCCCTGAACCTTAAACTCGCAGCTCCGCACCGTGCACCCGAAGGTTGAAACTGTATAGGCTAAAGTTCTTAGGTATCCCGTATGTCCCAAAAGACGCAAGAAAATCCGGAACCGACAGCACCCCTAAGGGCATAACAAACCAAATAACCATATTTCTAGACCCTGAACCTTCACCCGACCCTGAGCTTTAACCCTGAACTTTGAGAAAATTGCCCAGAGAATTGTACATTGATTCCGCTGCCGGCGCGAGATGTAAAATCACATCAATCGCTACTTGCACCAAAGATTCATCCTCCCACAGAGAACATGGCAACAGCCGGTTGGGTACCCTAAACCCCAAGCCCCAAATCCCAAACTCCAAGCCCTAAACCCTAAAGCCCTAAACCTTAAACCCTAAACCCTAAACCGTAAAGCCCTAAACCTTAAACTATAAGCTGGGTGGTGAGAGGAACGAGATGATGGGCATCTCGTGTTTTAGCTAACGGGTCAGCCCCAGAATAACATGGGAGTTTCTTAAAACAATCCCTGTACAAACCCTAATAAGGACCCCCATAATCCCTATATAATCCCCATACCCCCTATGGTCCCTAGGGTACCCCCTTTTTGAGAAACTCCCACATCTTACCATGTCCATTCGGGGGCTGGTTCAAGGGGTCGGAGGGCTCAGGGTTACGGGTTCAAGGTTAAGTGTGTAGGGTTTAAGTCTTAGGGCTCAGGGTTCTAGGGTTAAGGGTTTAGGGTTTAGGAGGCAAGCTAGCAATCCTGCGTATTCCCCAATTCTCCGTACTTCTCCCTAATACCTGCATATCTTGAGCCCGAAATCCTAACACCTGAACTCACGCGAACCTCAAACCTCCTTAACCCCAAACCTCGAGGTTGGTTCTCGAAGAAGCTTTCCCGTCTCTTCTTTGACGACCCCTTTCAGGTAACCCATCAGTGCTGTTTGAGTTCTCAAGGTTGAGGCGTGTCAAGGGTTAAGGGGGTTTCTCAGGGTTTCGAGGGTTTAGGGCCAGGGGGCTTCCCAGGGGTTTGCGGGTTCAGGGGGCTTTCCAGGGTTTCGAAGGTTTAGGGCGCTTCCCAGAGTTTCGAGGTTCTAGGGACTTCCCAAGGTTTCGAGGCTTCAGGGGGCTTCCCAGGGTTTCGAGGGTTCAGGGGGTGTAGGGTTTATGTACGGTGGAGATTTAGGGTGTATGGGTTTTGGGTACCGACACCAAAAAAGGGAGTTTGATTATTGAAAACTTTTGTTCAGGTGGGATGAAGTCATGGCCATTTGCTTGGATTTCTTTTTGCGATGCACGCGAGTGGGTTTGTGAGGAAGGTAATTTGAGATATTGTGCATCTCGAGTACTAGAACGACGAGTATTCTTATGTCCTACTGAGCACGAAGCCGATGCACCTGAAAACAATCGAGTTCTATGTAGACATTAACCGTAGGCCGCCAACCCTAAACCGCATCCGTTCCGAGATTCAGGAATTGCAGAGTCGAGCTTAGGGTGTCGTATCTTCAAATCTAAAGTAATCCCTATAAACCTTAAACAGCACCCTACACCCTAAACCAGCCCATTCCCTAACCGCCGACCTTGGATTCCTGAACCGTGATTCTGATCCTTGGTCTTTTTGAACATTTTTTCAGGTCTGGGCGACATGCCTCTTGCAACAGGAGCCACGGCGCACACTTTTGGGCTTTGATAAGCACGTGTAGCTAAAGGCAGAATCGGTCGACACACATGGTCCGTTGCGTGTCCGTTGCCTGTCCGATCTTGCGATTTAGAGGGCGATATGCTCATCATTTACGCCAAGTCAAGAGTAGGAAGTTGTGAGCAAGCTGCGCTTGTCTAGGCAGAGCACCTCGTAAGATTTTCCTATGATTTCCTATGTGTTTGCAAGGTTTCTGCGGCACACTTGATGACGTCGAAGATTCATGGTTCAGGGTAGCGTGATTCCAGTTGCCATTTTCCTGATGCTCGGCAATGCCAGTGCCCATTTGCCCTGTTAGGTTATATATCTGTTATTACTATTACTATAGTTATATATATATAACCCCTATGGTTTCCATTTTCTTTTCCACTATCCTTATATAACCCCAATATATGCCCTATATAACCCCAATTCCGGTCTTTCCGGCCGCCTCTTGCTTTCTTTCCGATAGTTGGTGGTGCCCCCTACACTGCAGGCGGTGCCCCCGCAAACCCTACCTGAAGGTAGCGATAGATGGGTACCAAACATTGGCTGGCTTCCAGAAAGACATGCTCACGAGGCCGGGTGTTGTGGGTTTGCCTCGTGCTTGGTGGGGTTTAGGATTTGGGGTTGAGGGTTTTCGAAGTATGGTTGAGGGTGTAAGATTTCGGGCGTCTTTGTGATGGCATGGTTTCCTTTGCGTAGTCCAGCGACTCGTATGCAGGTCTTGGTTTCTGTTCTAAGCCCCTTTCAAAGGGACCATCGTCTTTATGTGAACCTGTTTCGGGTTCAATGTTGGTCCCTAAACCCTGCAGCCTTAATTGGGAACCTTTGCGGTGGTCCTTATTAATTTTGGAGAGACCCGAGACGAAACCTTAAACCTTAGATTCTCAACCCCAAACCTTGAGGCCTGAACCTCGAGCCGTAGACCCTAAGTCATAAACCCCGCATCATTTGCACTGCAAGGCATCACGAACCACGAGGGAACTTTGGGATAGGGTGGCGTGCTAAAACTTAAGGGGGGTTTCGCTGGCGCAACGGGCGCCCAGCCAGTTTAATTCTTGCCTTTCCTTTGGGAAGTTTTTCTTCCCTAAACTTCAAACCCCTTTGGGTCTGGACCTTTTTTTGAGTTGCCCGGTTCTTTCCAGACCTTTCTGCAGTTTGCTGCCATCCCCTCTCCCATGTCAAGTTTGGTCACCTTTCTGAAAACTTTTGGCTATGCATGTTGGTCCATCTTGCTCATTTTTGGACAATATTGGTGAAATTGAGCAAGTCGCTGCTAGCGTGGGCACATTTGGAGTTCGTAGTTGGTTCCCAAAACCCCAAACGCGCCTTCGCAAGACCAAAGCTGGCTCCTTTGAGGGTTTATTGTTGAGGGTTTAGGGTTTCAGCTTTAGGATTAGGGTTTAGGGTTTAGGGAATTGGATCGATAAGCTTACTTTACTGGTGGTGCTTGGGGGGAGCAAGAGAGTGAATATAGGAATTGTTTTAGAAGTATATGGGGACGAAAGAGCTTTGTTACAAGGATCCACTCTCCTTTCAGCAGCCCAGAACTAGGGACTCTAAGGGCTAAGTGATTCTAGTCCGGCCCTTATATATTCTTATCGTAACAATCTTACTGGATTTTGGGGTCCACCTAACTAGTACCCTCAACTCTAGACCTCGAGGCGAAATCTTGTAAATCTAGGCTTTAAGGCTTGAGGTCTAGGGTTTAGAAGGTTATTTAGTAAGGTTTGGGGTTTAGGGTTTAAGAAAACTCCAGCTGTAGCTAGACCTCCCACATGCTTGTAATATCGGCTTGCATACCCATCAATCACCTCATCCCTTGTTCTCTGAACCCCATTTTTTCAATCGCACGCTTCACTTTTTAGTCCTCAAACTGATGCCGTAACCTAAACCCTGAACTCTAAAACCCGTAGACCCTCAAACCCTTCAACCCTTAAACCCAACAACCCTTAAGCCCTTAAACCCTTAAACCCTAAAACTCTTCAACCCTGAAACTCTTCAACCCTGAAACCCTCAAACATAAGCCCTATAACCCTAAAACCTTTCAACCCTACACCCTAAGCCCTAAACCCTTAAACCCTTAAACCCTATACCCTAAACCCTAAGCCCTAAACCCTAAACCCTAAACCCCAAGCCCTAAACCCTTTTTAAACTTGCCGGTCAGATCTCAGGGAAGTTTGGCCGGATGCTAAGCCCTTTTGGAAGGATTCCTTTGAATAAAGCTTAGGGTCGAAGTTTTTTTTTTTCTTCGGATTTTGGTTTAGGGTTTAGGGGTTGAGGGGTTGAGGGCTTAGGGTGGAGGGTTTCGGGTTTGGGGGTTGAGGGTTTAGGATTTAGGGTTGAGAGTTTAGGGTTTAGGGTTGTGAAGTTTTTTTCTGGCTTAGGGTTAGTGGCCTTGCTGTGTAGGGATTTTTTGTTCCCCTGAAGTAAATCGAACATGCGGTAACTGGGGATCGGTCCTGGGGAATTCCATATCCATTTACTTCAGGGGGAATTTAGGATTTTGAGGAACCTTGGCGAAGTTCGGGGTTTAGGGTTCAGGGTCTCGGTTTCAATCCTTTAAACAAAAACTTACGCTATCACACTGGACAGAAGGGCAAGTTGCGCTGGTTTTCTAGTTGGGCTTAGGGTTGATGGTGACCCAGGTCCCAAACCACAAATCCGGGCTCTAAACTTACTGGGGGTTAGTAGGGACTATGAGAATACATTATAGACGGGTTATATAGGGATTATTCCATTATTCCCTACTAACCACCAGTAAGACATCCTACACCCTAAACCCTAGACCGAGGTTCATGTTGTTTGCTGGTTTAGGGTTATGACTTGGCACTCCACAACCTGTGTGGAGAAGGAACAGGAACACAAACGGGTTTCGGGCTCAGGGCTTAGGTCCCGTTTCCAAGTCAAACCCACGCTGGAATAGCTCTGGCACAATTGAACATGTACCCGCTGCGCCAGCCCACAGACAACAAAACACTTTATATAGACATCCCAAGCCCCCCAAACCCTCAGCCAACCCTAAAGCCCTAAACCCTAAACCCTGAATCCCCAATCTTAAGATGTAAGCTCCATGGCCTAACTCCTAAGCCCGGAATCTCCAAGCCTTCATCTGTAGAAACCGAGATCCTTGGTTTAGGGTTAAGGGTTGAGGATTTAGGGTCAATTGTTAAGGGTTAAGCGTTTAGGGTTTAGGGCTGAGGGTAAGGCCCTAAAAAACTCCCAAGATTGTGAAGGTAATGCAGGGGTAGTGGAGAATCACATGGAGAAATTCAAGCAAATTTGGGTTCTGTAGACGCTTAGAGGAAAATCGCCAATACTATGGTCCTCGATTCCTTGTACTACATACAGTGCAGGTCACCTCGAATAGGCTTCGGCATAATATTGGGAATGCTTAAGGCTTCTCCACTGGAACCCCGCCAAAAAGATAGTATCCATTTTTGTTTCCATTGCCTTTTCCCTGAGAGGCTCCATTGCTGATGCAATATCACTAAACCCAAAACACGGAAAAAGCCGCTTCAATTTCATGACCATTTTCTTTTATCTGATTCTCCGCTTCTGGGATCCCATTTCCCTAAACCCTATATTCTCCAGTGTAAGCCCTATGTACGTTTATAAGATCTGTATATAGCTTAACTCCAGATAACCCTGTATAGCCCGCCCTAAACCCCACGTCCTAGGCCCTAAACCTTGGATACTGCCATGAACTCCTTGACAGCTGGATAATACCTAGAATATGATTACATAGGCCCCTTGATGTGACCCCTATAGTGATGGTTAAGAGGTGGGGGACAGGACCCAGCCCGAAACCCTAAACCCCTAAACCCCACAACCCCTAAACCCCAAACCCTAAACCCCTAGGATCTGAAGTCTGCAGGCTGGAAGATTCCATGCTCTACCACTGCAAATTCTTCGTGTCCCAGGCACAGCGTTTAGGGTTTAGGTTTAGTGTTTGTAGAAATTGCAGAGGGTCCGTGTCCGGAGTTTTGGGTGGGTTTTGACCGGTTTTGTCTTTTAACCTTTGGTTGCCTTTGGCCCTATACAGTTTCTGTGCATCCTGAGCTTGAGGGTTTAGGGCTTTAGGGTTTAGGGTAGGCCTCCGGGGGTGTATTGAGGTTTATAGGTTTTTTGAGGTTTATAGGGGTGATCGAATTATATAACCCTAAACCCCTAAACCCCCATACCCTAAACCTTAAACCGCACGTCTCCCCATAATGGCCAAAAGGTAGGTTCCATTCTGGTTTGGAGCTCGCTTTAAGGAAGTGTATTCCCCCAGGGTCCCTCGTTCCAGAAAAAACCTGGGTTTAGGGTTTAGGGTTCTCCTAACCCAACGAACTACTCAGAAACTAAGGCGGGTAGACTTCCCTCCAGAAACCAGCTATGTACCGCGAACGATCTCATAGTATTTTCCAGCAAAACCCAGGGTACAGGGGTTTAGGCTTAACAATTTAGTCTTTGAAGGTCAAAAGCAAGTCGTTATATGGAAAGGTGTTCTAGCTTTCCCTCGAGCTCCAAATCCTAAACCGAAAGCTCTTAAGACCTAAGCCTTTAACCCTAAACCCTAACCTCATAAACCCTAAACCTGAAAATCCTAGAGCCTGAGAACTGACAACGGGGAAGAATCCCGGGTTTTCTTTAGCATGAAACTCTTGAGCTGACGAACTCCCAGCTCCGCAGCACAGGGTACACCCCAAGATCTTATTCCTCCAATAGGCATCCTAGTCTTGGCAACCCTTAACTTTACACCCTTTTTCGGTCCCTGAACAGCATACTGCCGTCATGTGTAGGGGATCCAAGAAAAGTCTATACCCTCATACCGGGATTATATGGTATATATCTGGATTATATAGGGGTAATGGAAAAGAGAATGGAAACTACTATCATGGGGTGTATATATAACAATACTACAAATGATATAATAACACTAATAGTATTTATATGTAATTATAGGGGCTACATAGGGTTTAGTGTTTATGGCTTTGGATGAGGCGACTCTACAGCTCACCATCATGAGAACCAGAAACCCACACCCTAAACCCTAGCTTTACCCCTTCCCCGAACATGGAAGCCTAAATGGGTACCAAATGGATTTCTGTCCCTTAAAGAGGGTTCCATATCAGCTTGTATGTTTGTTTGGGGGAGGGCTGCAACCTACACGCCAGATCTTAATCCTCATCTACAACATCTTTGTCAGGGCACGTGTGCCGGCATCCGCAACGCACGATTCGCCAAACATCGTCTGACACGGCGCCGGCGCGTCTTTCCGAGCAAGCACCTGGGTAGCACCGTTTCTGTATCTATTCCGTGCTTTTCTTCTAGCGTCACGTAGATGTTCATCTTTATTGCTGTTATTAACACTCTTGTTGTTGTGACGGTTTGATATTCCTGTCATCATTTGTTCTATGAATACCTGTATTTGTGCGATCGTGAGTAACAATGGAGCATGTTTTCCTCAGTATTCATATTGTTATGCTACCACGGTTGTTGTGCTTGGGCTGACGGTCTAGGGTCTAAGGCGCAAAGGTTCACGTGTTTAGGAACTGGGTTCTTGGGGTTGAGGGCTTTAGGGTTTTCGTAGTCTAGGGTCTTAGTTAGTGTTGTGGGGTTGTAGGTTGCAAGGTTGAGGGTATTGGGTTTTGTTGTATGTATATTGCGATCTCCAACCCTATGCACTAGACCTTAAGCCCTAAACCCGACCAGTAATGTAACATGGTCGTGTGTAAAAAACTGGAACCTGAACCCTATGCTGAAAACCCGAAACCTTAAAACATGAAACCGAAACACCAAACCCCACGCTGGAACTGCGAAACCCCAAGAACCAAACGTTAAGCTCCAAACCGAAACCTTACGCCCTAAACGCTAGCCGATTCCTAGAATCCTCAGCCCGAGGCCCTAAAGCTTGAAGCCTGAAACTGTCGTGAACCCACTGGGTTGCTGTTCGGGAACATAATTTCAGTTATTATATTGGGGAAACCCAATTATTTACTATATATATATATATACATACCCATTGCGGTAACTTTATTTAAGTTCCCTAACAGCAACCCAGCAAAACCCAGAGCCCTACCTGCTATCCTGGCCCGTGTGCAAGGCTTGCCCCTAAGGTTGGGGTTGAAGGTTCCGGGTTCCAGAGCGTATTTTGGGCCCATATATGGAAGTTTCTGGCAAAAAGAGGGGGCTACAATATAGACCTCATACTATTGTACTCCTTATGGCGGAGAGCCCCAAGACGGTACCACTGATCTGGGAAACCCTATGCATATGTTTTGATGGTATCCTCTAGTAGCTAATACGTATAGGGTGGGGGCCTAAACCCAGTACCGGCATTAATGGAATCATGAATGACTAGTCTTTACACAGGTTACACGGGATGATGTGGGCTCATAGAGATAAATAGGGTTTGGGGTTTCCTTTCTGAAAAGTAGGCCACACGTTCCAAAGCATCCCATCAAAAGGGTTCCGTGCTTCGTAGAAATGCCAACATTAAATTCTCATGTCCGTTGACGAGATTTCCCGCGCATCTTGACTGCAATGACTTAAGCTCTCAACCGGAAACCCCAAATCTTAAACCCTAAACCCAAAACTTGAACCTAAACCCTAAACCAACCTCAACTCAAAACCCATGAACGTCGTGGGACCGTCATCAAGAAACGAGGATCAGCCCCGGAGAGGAGTGCTGCTTTGCAGCAGTTGAGTCACAGAGTTTAGGATTTTGGGTTTGGGGTTTAGGGTTGAAGGTTTAGGGTTGCGGTTTGGGGTTCAGGGTTTGGAGTTGCACTGTGAGGTTTCGACTACGTGATTCTCAAGTTGCCCTGGACTTAGAAGGTCTCCTGTAACGAAAATTTCGGTTTTCTTCTATAAGGGTGGTCGTGCTGAATAGAGGCTAGGGTTCACAGTCTGGGTTGCTGTTAAGGAATTTAAGTTAAGTTACCATAATAGGTATATACATATATATATTTTTATATTCAGTAAATAATGAAGTTTCCCCAATATGGTAACTTAAATTACATTCCTTAACAGCAGCCTAGGAGTTCAAGTTTCAGGTTGGAAGGGTTTTTCAGGGTTTCGGTCTTGGGCCTGCCAAGATACCAGGTAGCTATATGAGGGGTTTCCCCAAATTCGGGGTACCCTTTTGGGGGTCCATATAATAAGGACTAGAGTATATTTGGGTCTATATTGGGGTACCCCTATTTTGGGAAACTACCATATGGTTCTGCGTCTTCGGAATCCCTAAACCCTGAACCCAAGATTCCTCGCATCAGTTCTAGGTCCTATACAGGGTATACGGTTAACGCCTAACATTTTTTCTTTTCCAGTATCCGAAAAAGCACCAATATAACCCTAATATAACCCCAATATCCTATAGTAGTTTCCATTGTCTTTTCCAGTCTCCGAAAAAGCACCAATATAACCCTAATATAACCGCAATATCCTATAGTAGTTTGGGGTTCGGGGTTTTCGGTTCTTTACAGTTCTGTGGGATTCCCTAAACCCTAAGCCGTGTGTTCAAGGTCTGGTGGGGAAGGGGGTTGCTGATCTCAAGTCGGGAACCTGATGATTCCTATACATCCCCAGGGTTTCTGAGGGTACCTACCCTGTTTTAACAAGCTCCCTAAACCCTAAACCCTAAACCTTAAACCTTAACCCTGTTTTAACAAGCTCCCTGATCCCTCTCAATTTCCTGTCGCTTCTGATCTATGACCCACGGACCTGCAGCTGAGCTCCCAAGCCCCCAAATCGCTAAGCCAGAAATCTTAATCCCTGAACCTTTACCTTACTGGTTGTTAGTAGAGGGAATCTACTACGTATATAGGGACTATATAGGGACTATATTCCCATATTCCCTACTAACAGCTAGTAAGTAATCCCTGAACCCTAACCTTACAGGTTTTTAGTAGAGGGAATCTACTACTGGGAGGTCCATTGTACTTATAGCCCACGTAGTAACTGTAGTTATAACCCAATTATATCTAGGGTAATTGTAGTTATGGAGCCGGTAAGTAGACCTCAGTGCTTCCAACACCTGAAGCTAAAAGCTCCAAGCCCGTCAATCATGGCACCTTGTAAATGTTAAGCGGGGCCCATGGGCCAGTAATGCATTCAGTGTGCCCCGCGTCGCCTTTTAGGATATGGGGGTTTCCCAAAATATAGGATACCGGTTTGGGGTCCCAATAGTGAGGATTATAGTATTTTGGGTTCACATTGGGGTCCCCTTGTAAATTTAGGGAAAGGAAGCCGCCATCTAGGACAGGTGTTGTAAAGCCCGCAAAGGCAAGGGCCTAAGCAAGGGATTCTTGCTTTCCCTTTGTAGCATTTCCGAAGCCTCTACCCCATTGACAGCCTGGCGGTTTAGGGCTTACGGTCTTTAGGGTTTAAATCATAGGGACTTAGGGGGGGGTGTAGGGGCCCATATTCCTTAAATAAGGCCTTAATAAGCCCAAATAAGCCCTTAATAGCCTTAGGGGATATCGGTCCCAACACCCGCCTCCCCAACACCCCCCCTTGCTCCCTATGAGTTCAGGGTTTAGGGTCTACGGTTTAGGGTTTAGGGTCACATGGATTCTATCGTTCTTTGACACTTCGACACCCTCTGCTCATTCAGGCACCAAGCTTAACAACGTCCTGAACCCCAGACATTTAACCCTTAGTTCTTCATCCCGCATTGAAAGCTCAGAGTCTTCAACTCCGTTCTCTCTCGAAAGCAGAAGCGCATCCATGCTAGACCGCATGTCGGCAGCCCAACACGCCGAACCCTAAAACCTAAGACCTCAAAGTCAGCCTTAAGCAGTACAGGAGATCGAGTATTATCAGAGGGTTTAGGGTTTAGGGTATATTACTAGCTTCATCTCCTTGAACATATCTCCAAGTTGGAAATCACTTAGGCAGTACAGAATCCGCTACACGCCCCTGTACAATACCAGTTTCCATTTCATCTTCCATGGTTTTTTCATTCGATTTTCGCTAACCGGGTAACAGCACGAAACCCTACATTGTTCCTCTGTAAACCATATATCCCTATCATAAACCCCAAGCCCTGAAACCATACATTACCGAAACCCTAAACTTAGGGGTACTTGGAAATAATCTTTACTTTTTGCTTATTATAATCCTAAGGAACAGCAAAAATATAATTTTGGCTATGGTTCCAAGTTCCCCAATGTAAACCCTAAACCCTAAACCCTAAACCCTAAACACCCTTCCAGGCTATGGGCACAACACGACCGGCCACGGTTCGGCAGCGGATGTCGTTGTCCACGAGCGATGTCAGATGGTATCCTGTCCAGATTCAGTATCTCCATCCCGTTATGGGTTTAGGGTTTAGGGTTTAGGGGGGTTAGGGGTTTAGTGTTTAGGGTTTGGATTACTTAGGGTTATTTGGGGAATGGAAAACAGGATAGAAACTACCATGTCATTCAGGGTTTAGGGTTAGGGGCTTACAACCCCGCACACTCCAAGCCCCCTTCTCACAAGCTTGATATTAGCAGGTTGATTTAAGGAGGTTGATTTGAGGGTGTATATATACATAACGGTATACATATGTATGGGTATTGGTCTAAATTCCCTATACTACGGGGTCCTATATTTGGGTTCCCAGTATAATCCGGGGCCCTATATAAGTTTCCCCCATTTTGGGAACAGTAATTTAGGGAAACTAATATAGATTGGCAGGAACATTTACTATAGGGGAAGTGGGCAGGCCTCTCATTAGGGGGATCCAAAGTATGAGGATAGGTAGAGTTTACAATTTTTAAGGGTTTGGCGTTTACTCTGCGGGGCCCAGGATTGCGAACGGGTCATGTAACTTAGTTCTAAATGCTGGCAACAGGTTTCTATGGGGCTAAACCCTAAACCCTACCTAGTGGTAACAGAATTGTAAACGCTAGCGCGCGCC